GCTTTGCCCGGAGCGCGGGGCGTGCGGGGCTTGGGTGTCTGCCGCTGCCAGATGGCCTAACGGCGAGCCCCGGTGGCGCCCCCCGTCCCCGCCTCGCCGCAGCAACCGCCTGGCAGGCACCCGCACCCGCCCGCATCAGCCCCGCCACGCAGGGCCCCACACCCTCCGCCCACACCTCCATCGCAACCCGATTCAAATTTCAAAATTTCAAACATTTCAAACAGGATGCCAAGCCTGAACGAGCAGGAAATGGGCAATGCCATCTGGGCATTTGCAAAGTGGGGCCGCCGCCCGTCGGACGAGTGGCTCTCGCGTTTCTTTGGGCGCCTGCCCGGCTGCGTCGTGCGGATGGAGCCGCCGGGGCTGTGCAGCACGCTGTGGGCGGCGGTGATGCTGGGGCTGAAGCTGCCGGGAAGCTTGGTCGACTCGATCCTCCTGGAGTCGCAGGCGCGCTCCTGCTGCGTCGCTGCGCTTTGGGGGCTTGCCTGTGCTGTGACATGTGTTTGCGGGAATTCGGTGCCTGATCAGGCTTCTGCTCTTTGACCAGGGTTGACTCTTGAGTTTGTTGGGTGAGCCCAGTCCCGAGCTGTGCGTTGCGCCAGCTGTGTGTTGGCTCTGTGCATCACGATCGTCCTCCTCACCCAAGCCTGCTTGTAACCTCATCTCGACCTGCACTTGAATTTCCCTCCCTGCACCCTCGACACCCAACACACACACACACGCACACACACACACACACACACACACACACACACACACACACACACACACACACACATGTACACCCCCTGCAGGTCAAGTTCTCGTCCTTCAATGCCCACGGTCTGGCCACCCTGGCCTGGTCCCTCTGCTGCCTCAACGTGCGCCCCAGGAAGCTGTGGCTCGACGACTACATACACCACACAGGCTCCCGCATGGTGCGGGGAATTTTCATCATCTTGAACAACAGTTGGCATACTTGTATATTTTTTGAAGCATGCGTATGCGTACATATCATTCTGCCCGGAGCTGCCGGCTTGGTGCTGTCGGCCCGACGCCGCCGCCCGCGCGCCAGCCCCATGCCTGCCCGTGTCAGCGCCGCCCGCTCGGCATTGACGGGCGCCGGCCCGCGGCGCGGCGCGCCGGGCGGCCGCTGCTCGAGAGCCGGGAAAGGGGCTGCGAGGTGCGGGGGGCAGGGAGCCGTCAGCCTGTCTCTGGTCGAAAGCCCTGACAAGCCCGCGGCGAGCAAGGCGGCCGCGGTCCCGCCTCACCGCCATCTGGCGCGCGCCCCTGCTCCCTCTGGGGCCCTGCCCGCCCCTGTCCTCTCCAGGCCGGCTGGAGCAACGACCAGTGCTTCACCAACACGCTGTGGGCGCTGAGCAATTGGGAGCAGCGGCCGCCGGACGCGTGGCTGGATGAGTGCTGCAGGTGGGGGTGGGTGCAGGTTGTCGTTGGGGGGCAGGGTAGGGGATAAGAAAGGCAAGCAGGCCCGACCATCAACGTGTCTGGGCGCGCGCTGCAGCTGTGTGTGTATGTGTGTGGGAGACGGGGTTTCCGGGCAGCCACGGCCAGCTGTGCCCAGCCGCGTGGCTGGACGCGGGCCGCAGGGGTGTGTGTGGGCCTGGAAGGGAGGGATGCGCGGGCGCCGCGGTGTGAGGGCGCTCGTCTCCGGGTGACCGTTGCGCAGCCGCACCCCAGAACGCGGGGCCGACGCACACTCCACTCCGTCCCAGCGCCCCGTTGCGCCGGAGCCAGTTGCACGGCGCGGCCTGCCGCAGCCATCGAGTGGGGCCCGGGCCGGGAGCCGCCAGCCTTTCCACCAAACGGTGTTCATTCACATATTGGTGTTCGCCCGCACTCTCGCAGGCTGGCGCTGCCCTTCATCGAGGGCATGACGCTCAAGTCGCTCCTCATTATTGCGGCGGCGCTCGCGGACCTGGACTTCTGCCCGCCCGTCCGCTTCAGCTCGCTGCTGCTCGAGCGCGTGCACGCGGCGCAGCGCGCGCAGCATGCGCAGCACGCGCAGCACGCGCAGCATGCGCAGCACGCGCAGCATGCGCAGCATGCGCAGCATGCGGCCGCCCGGGGGCCCGGCGGCGACGATGGCGACGACAGCGCGGGCAGGGGCGGCAGGGGCGGCAACGGCGGCGGCGGCGGCGAGGCGGACGCGGCGACGTTCCTGTGGGCGCTCTCGCGGCTGCTGCGGCGGCCGCCGGCGGCGGGCGGCGGCTGGGCGGGCGGCGGCGCGGGCGTGGGT